CGAACGCCGTGGAATATATGGCTGGACACCCGAATGGTCAACAGGACTTCTAGAATGACGACCTCGGGCGACCACGTCGTCCGAACGTGGCGCCCGCGGTGATGTCGCTGCGGCGCGAGGACTTCCATCAGAACACTTTTGCACGTTTGCACGTTTGCCACGTCGACGAGCGCAGAAGAGTGCTATGATATGGCAGAAGCACTAATTCTGCCAGCGGCGTTTACTTATATGATGTGCCTTTGCTCTCGCCGGCCGGAAGTAGATTGCTAGTGTATCCGACCACAAGTGAACAAGTGGCTGTGCCCCCGAGTATTCACTACGATAGCTACCGCGTGCTTTTATCTGCATGTAGCCCTTAGCGTCGGAGAGGTGCTTGATATTATTGGTACCACGTTCTGTACTACAGTACGTCCTAAATGCAATGGTTAGCATAGCGCCAAGTGGCCACGTACGGCAGGACGAGCAGTGGATGGAAGACGGCGCTGCCAATATCTGGTCCACGCCGCCGCTGCAACACCACCGCCTTTGGAGAACTCGTCGCCCGAGCAGGTATAATATGTGTCATTCCTTGAAATTATGCCGTACGAGCCGTATTTTCCTGAAATACGGCGTGTCAAATCGGTAGCCTCCGACATGTGCTCAGACGGGCTCCTCGTCCGCATCAAGAAAACGGCGTCTACAATAGTAAATGCCTCACTGCGACCTGAGCTGTGGCACAATGACTGTCGGTCGCAGGATTACCTTGCTTAACCTGTGTCAGACTCCTATACTAGAAGTTGGAAACCATACGATTCATCACAGCTTGTAGTGGTAGTACCTCCGCACGGACAGCTGAGCCGTGTGGAAGAGATCGCAGAGGATCTCTTTCGGCCACCGAGGCTCCTTCTCCCATATTTGTACGAGAAAAATGGTCTGCTCCCGTTAGCTCTGCGCGTCTGTGATCGGAACGACTGGCTACTGCCCGATCCTGGTTTGTGTTCGACCGAGGTAACCATTTCGCTGATGTCAGCCAACCACGAACGTGGCGCGAAGTGGTCGAGTGGCACATGATACCCAGTCGCTCTCCTTGTAGATGGCTGACTGTAATTTATTTGGTCTCTTCAAAGCGTAGGTGTTACGCAACAAATGTAGGTACACGCGCATTAACGTTAGTTGGGACGCTGAGATTGCACGCTCCCGTTGAGTAGCGAGAATTAGGTCCTTATCGATACATATACACAGTGACGAGGAGACGATTCCGTTATCCGGGGGAGGTTTTCATGACCTGCTGTCGGCTAGGACACCAAACTGGAGTTCTGTTGCCTTTCGCGAATCACAACTGGAACTCAATGCTAGTGGCCCCCGAGTTCCGATCTCCATACCCTCAGTCTTTGATTTTCCTCTGAACGCTTTCGGTGACCCGAGGATGTCGGGTAGGTGCGCAATCCGGTTGTTAGAGACCGTTGATCATCTTAGCCCAAGGACAGTCTGCGTTCCCTGCGTGGAGAGGACTGCCTCTGGGTTTGATGTAGTACGCTGGGTCCGTTGCTGGTGCTGACGGTACCGGTTGTCTAGATTTTGCATGTGTTTAGCGTACTGATGGAAGGTTGTGAAGCAGCAAATCTTGCAGTTCATAGGAGATTTCTTAGAATAGTAGTGGTGTCAAATTGCTATCAGCTATCTCTCCATCTAAGCCGAGGCTTCAGAGCTAAGTACGCAGCTAACCGATCGGCCTTATATCAACTACTAAGAGCGCCTTATCACAGGCCGAGCTGTGACGTCTTACGATGGCCACGCTTCATGCATCAGCGCGTGCTTGAGGCATCTTTTCTTCAAATTCTCTGAATAGATCCTCGTTACCCTCTGAAAAGGAAATCCTACCCACCTTCACGACAAAATCCTTCTGCACAAACCCAATCTGCTCCACTTTCTGACCATACGTCAAGACTGCCACCGTGTTCCCGTCTTCCGGCAATAGTTGTAAGATGTCGTCGTACTCTTGAATGTATTGGCCAACTTTTTGGGGGATACTGACGCTAAAGCCATCACAGGATACCATATGTGGAACTTTAGGATCGATTTCGCCCGTTAGGGCGACACGTAGTCGCTCAATGTTGGCGTCATCCACCGTTTTCTTGTGTCTTTGCACAGGCTTCCAGTATTCGGGATTCTGCGTGCGATGGTTTTGTAAATCCTGGCGGCGTTTGAATACTGGCCACGATGCTGCATCCGGTCCATAGCGGTCCGTCTTATTAGGCCAGACGATGCTCAAGGCCACACGGAGGTTGTGAATATTTTCGACCCCGATCCACTCAAGGTCAACACCTGTCAGTGTGATGATGGCACCCTGTTTTACCCAATCATCGAGCAATTTGCGGTCGCATATCTTGTCCCAGATGTCGTTCTTGGCGCCGTCGCTGGTCAAAGCTTGGTTTACCATGACTATCGAGAAGGCGAGAGAGGTAGAATAGAAGTAGAGATTTTTGCAATCGTAGAAACACACTGGATGCCCTTTAAATAGCCTCCATCCGTCCACGTACCAACCCGGTTGATGCCAGCTCCGCTATATTCAAGTGCGTCACGCGTCCAATATTTGTCACGATTTGGACACCCTCGGATGTCCAGCTTATCCAAGACTTTTTCGCTCGGTGAATCCTTGGCGGGCCAAGATCAAAGTCCTGGGCATTCGACGTCGACCACCCAGTGGAGCCCTTGCCGACAAACTTACCCAGGTATCATGATTGTTTGAGCTTCATCTTCAGCCTTTGTGGCCAGATGTTGGATTTGCATCTCGGCGAAGGTGTGACGCCTGCCTGGGTATGCACGCCAGCCGGACTTGGCCACACGACGACTGCGGGTAAGTACATTGGCACAAGGATCATCCGGGAGAAGACCCCAGGCATAGCCAATGCATACAAAGCATCTTCTTGGCCTTTTGTTATTCCTGGCATACGCAGATAGTGTGGCACAATAGAGGAGGCCGTCTTCCGAGCCGTTGGAAGGCGTTTTCGAGAGCTAGACCTTCGGTAGGGACTGGCGCACGGTGCCTTCCTGGACGAGACAGTACGCGGACACTGCGTCTTGTTTCTTTGGAGGGCCCCTTCCGTTGCCCATTGCCGGTGTTTGCGACCATAAGTGAACAAGTGGCTGTGCTCCCGAGTATTCACTACTATAGCTACCGCGTGCTTTTATCACCATGTAGCCCTCAGCGTCGGAGAGGTGCGCTCAATATCATTGGTTCCACCGTTCTGCACTACGGTGCGTTCTCAATGCAATGCTTAGCATAGCGCCAAGTCGCCACGTACGGCAGGACCTGCAATGGATGGAAAATGGTGCTGCCAATATCTTGTAACGGCTACGCCTAAACCGTTGCGCCATGGAAAAAGATCAGACATTGATCAAATGACGACCGATCAATGCAGGTGTAATAGCTGCCAATGGGGGGTTACGGGAACGAAACCTTAACATATCTGGTCCACGCCATCGGCCAGCGAGATATCCACGCCGCCGCTACTCCAACACCTCCGCCTTTGAATACATCGTCGCCTGGGAAGATAGAATTTGTCCTAGCGTATCAAATCGATAGCCTCCGACATAAGCTCGGACGGGCTCCTCGTTCGTATCACGAAAACGGCGTCTGCAATAGTACGTGCCTCACTGCGACCTGAGCTGTGGCACAATATGTATCTAGACGAGCTCTAGTCAAGAAGAGAAGAGAGTGGCGACCGCAGGATTATCTTCCTCAACCTGTGTCAGACTACTATACTAGAAGTTGGAAACCATACGATTCATCACGGCTTGTAGTGGTAGTACCTCCGCACGGACAGCTGAGCCGTGAGGAAGAGATCCCAGAGGATCTCTTTCGGCCACCGAGACTCCTTCTCCCATATTTGTACGAGGAAAATGTTCTGCTCCCGTTAGCTCTGCGCGTCTGTGATCGGAACGACTGCTTATAGCCCACCTTGCGCAGTCGACCAGCCGTATCCGATGAAGTGATAGCAGATAGAAAGTCAAGGATGCTCGACTCCTGCCAATCGCTGAGGTCCTCCACGCCCACCTTTCCCTCCTCTAACGCGTATCCTTGCATGAGCTTCATGGTAATCGTGCCAATGTCCGTGAGATTCTGTTGCTGCTCCTTCGAGCTGGCAGCACGGCAGAGCTCCTGCATGCCTATTTACACAGTCAGCCCCCATATCGCAGCGGGTGTCTAGCGCGGACAGACCGATTTTAACGTCGCCCGCCATCTGAACGAGGATCGTCTCACAGCTCAGACGACTATGACACCATCGATGGGAGTGGAGATAATCGAGCCCGTCTAGGATCTAGGACCGTGAGAAAATAATCGGGGATTGCGCGGCTCGAGACTCCCATACCTGCCCTACGATCGTCCCTATCTCGTCGCTGGTCCGTCGGCGCGGGCACCGTATTACATGGTCAAGAGGCATGTGCATATCCTCAAAGACGATGTAGAGTATCTTTTGGCCTTGGAATGCCTCAAGCGCAGCAACAATGTTGGCATGCCGCACCTCACGCAACAGGGATAGCGTCTTAGTGTCCTGGTTGCCGCGGGGGAACCGCCTCACGCCAACGCGACTCATTGGGGCCGCGCGCTCGCTCGCCACGATGACTTTGTCGCCCATGTCTAGTAGGGATAGTATCGCCTGGTACCGCCTCCATGGGCTTCCTGCCTGCAGCGGTAGTGCAGAGTCTGTGCCGGAAGAAGGGGTTTGTAGCCTCGTCCCGTCCACGTTCGTCTCGTCGACCTTTCTCTCTTTGCGCAATTTTAGAGGAGCCACGGCGCAATCGGTCCCGGGAACGCGGCTGGTCTTGTTTGGTGCTTGTTGTATCGCCAATTCACGAT